ATATATATATATCACAATCGTGTCGACAGCAGTAGCATGCTCTGCTAAGGTTTCGCTCGATGGCGATTCCTGGCGGTGATTCCTCGATTTCTCACTTTTTCTCCGTCGTCTCACGCGATGATGTTTTCACGCCCTTGCAGACGTCCTCCTGTCGACGACGCTCGCTCACGTCGTCTCTGTACTCGACGACATCTCACCTTTTCTCGACGACGCTCGTAGCTCTCGTACTCGACGACCCCATAGTTGACGACTCGCGTCTTCTCTCATCCGCAGTCGACGACTCGAGTTGTTTCTCGTTCTCTTTCGCCCTGCCCGACAGACATTACCTACTCGGCTTGCGTCTCTCACCCGCAGTCGACGATTCGTAGCTCTACTACCTCCAAAGTTTGCTCGATTTTTCCAGCGGCTCGCCTAGCTGCTCTGGAGATGGTATCGACGATCCATTCCTATGTCACTGCACTTGCCAATGACTTTCCTATTCCTACTCGTGCTCCTTCAATCCGATAAAAGATCAGTTAGTACAACAAGTAGTTGCTTCTAATGTTCAACAACGTACACATGTCCGACACACTTTAGACCACCACTGATCAGGTGAGTCAACCTTCAGATGAGGAATGACAGGTCTATTCCATGAGGAAGAAGAAGAATGGTGGCCGACTCGAGCTCGGGAATTTATTAGATTATACATTGGTTACCACTGGCAATGTCACTCATCTTACCAATTTATTAGCTGACTCCTTCTCAAGAACTAGAGACAGAGGCAAGATAAAATTTGAGCTCTCTAGCTACCTGATATCCCGTATTTTGACACTTTTTGGTTTTTTCTTTAGGTCTCTCATGTATTTTTCTGTATTTTTTCTTTTTGGAACCATTTGATGTGGTGGTTATCGTGTGGTCAGGGTGTCATATATGGGCTAAAGTGTCATGTTTGGGCCCTCCCACACAATCTATCTGTATCCTAATTTCTATTTAATATATTAGTCATTGGACTTTCTCTCTCTCTCTCTCTCTCTCTCTCTCTCTCTCTCTATATATATATATTAGGCACCATGTTCATTAAGTAAAAATATATTTTATCAAACATGCACAAATCTTAATTCCAAAAATGAATGTAAGCAGTATTTCAACTTTGATCCAATTGATGGTGACTGACAGGAGGTTAAGAGAGAGAATTAGAATCCACTTAGAGAGAAAATGTGGTCCACCACTTATAAAATGGATATTTATTCATTTGATCACCATTGCTCTTACGAGCATTCTCAAATAAAATGATATTCGATTACATCTTTACTATGTAAATTATTTTATTCGGTAGGTGAAATCAGAGGTGATCGTTACACAAATCAATAGGCCACGGATAAAACCCCACAAATATCTATTTCAGTTATTATGAGTAATTTGAAAATGTTGTCATCGAGCAATCTAAATGATGGAATTGGTGAAATTAATCCTATTAGTGGCGAATGTAAGATCCGATTTTCTAGACTCAAGATTTATAAAGGTATTTTCTAAATATTTGCTGATCAAGAAAACTGCTTCCTTAAACGCATTTTTTTGTCCATTGTTTTGAAAAGTTATTGTATTTATCCTTTTGGCTTTTATATAGAACTGCAGATATACGTAGTTATTTATTCAAAGGTTTAATAAAATTTCATATTTCCTCTCAATCCTTAGATGCCATCGGATGTGAATTCTGTGAGTACTTTAATAGTTTTGCTGACCACTTTTAGCGGAAAACTTTTCTACGTTAAACCTGGATTATCACTTCAACAACCTTGTCACCTCTCTTTTTTTCTATGGATTAGTATGTGTGTGTGATTGTAGTCTTGTCAGATGTAATGTGTATTTGATTTCTTTTTGTGGTGTAAACCTTGATCTTTGCTGAGATTTTATATTTTCACTCAGATTTAATGTTTTTATTCTTTTTATTTTAGCGACCATTACATTATTGGTTGGAATTAAATAATCTTGTTTACTGTTTTTTATCAGATGTGACTAAACTTTGCCAAACTTGAGTGTTGGTAATATTGCAATTTTTATAATCAGAAATTATACTTTAAAAAAGAATGATTGCTTCCATGTCAGGGAACTTTGGGGGCTTTGCATATAGACTTTACGATGGTTGTGCATCATGTAATGTTACGGTCTTATCTTTCTCATGAGCTGCCAAATTTAATGGAATCCTCCTTTGCCTCAGAATTCTCTTTGAATGTTTTGCAGGTTGGAATGATGCTTAGAGGCATGGGATTTGACAACACGACCTCAATCTATGTTGCTTCTGGTATTATCTACAATTCTGAGAAGTATATGGCACCACTTCGGCAGTTGTATCCTCTTTTGGAGACCAAGGATACACTTGCTTCTTCAGAAGAGCTTACCCCATTTCAGGTTCTTGCTCTAGCAAACTGTTCCTTGCAGATCCAAGTTTATCTCAGCTTGTAATAGAAACTTGAATCTCTTGTGGGTCCGGAGCACATTGCTGCTGTTTTTTTCTCTATTGGCTCCTTTGTTTTCCCCCTTTAGCTACCATACTATTTTTCATAATATTCCCAAGTTTACAAAAAGGTTCATGACCTACGCTCTATTTTGATGAATGTTTTGGCTCTTATCTGGCAGTCCTTAGGGGCTATTTGGTTGCTTAATATTTTTGTTTTCTATTTCATTTTTGGGAGATTTACATACATACCAGTCAATTCCTATATATCCACATATCTAACACCTAAGCTTCAATTTTTTTTATATACATGCTACCTTGTCAATGCATGAAATAGCGTATTTCACTTTTTAAAATTTGAAAAGGTGGTATTTTTTATGTGATATGAAAGATTTGGGTGGTATACGTACATGCCCCTCTATATATATATATATATATATATATATATATATATATTAAGATAAAGCATGGTTGTTTTTGAAAACACTAAAAAAAATCTAAAAGTTTTTTGAGTGTCATAAAAAAAATAATTGGTTTATTTTTAAAAGTAAAATAAAAAAACACGTAAAAAATACATTATAAAAATGTAAAAGAAAATAAAAAACAAAAAACAAAACTGATCCCATGTTTTTGTTTCGTGCTCTATGCAGGGCTACTCGTCACGATTGGCTGCACTAGACTACACTATCTGTGCTCAAAGTGAAGTATTTGTGACTACTCAAGGAGGCAACTTTCCCCATTTCTTGATTGGAAACCGGCGGTTTCTTTATGGAGGCCATTCCAAGACCATTAAACCTGATAAGAGGCGATTAGTTTTGTCTTTGGAAAACCCCAATATCAGGTAAATTTCAATAAAAAAAAAAGTTAGTTTTTTAACTATTTGTTGGCAATGCATATCTATCTTTTTTTAAAAAAAATTGTTCCTGTGAAATTGGATGTCTTACAAAGACAAAAGTAATATGGTTAATGGAGAAAAATATACATGCCATGTGCGCCCTGCCCCATCATACTTTGATCAATGTAATCCTATGAAACGGGTCTGAAAAAGTAATTCGAGGAATAAGGTTTGGCACAATAAAAGGTTTAGTCTGCAATTACTTAATTCTCAGATTAAATAACATTTTTGGATTATTTTAGAATTGTTGTAGAATTAGCATTGCCACAATCTTGTTAGATTGATGCCTCATTTAGTTGATTCAGTTTTGCTTTTTGGTGCATAAGTAGGTAACACGTATGCCACAAATTGTGGCTTACATGGTTTCTGATGGTTAAGGGGAGAAAATTAGATTATCTTATTCACTAAACAGAGAAGCCTATTTTTAGGCGTATAGTATGAATACAATAGAAAGAAAATAATGAAGAGAATAATTGTCACTTTATCCTGATAAATGCATGCTATCCCAAAATGTATATTCCCCTAATACAATGATAATTTTAAACTGCTTGTTTTACCTCTAATTGCTCTGAAATTGTCTCAACAATTTTATTGCTGATGCTTTCAATTTAGAAAATCGTTTGAGGTTTCCTTTGATAAGCTGTAATCTCTCTTTTTGGTCCTCATATTTTTCTAATTTTCAGATGGGACAAGTTCAAGCGGAACATGCTGGAAATTCTCCATCATAGCGATGCGAAGGGTGTTGAGATGCGGAAGCCGAATGCATCCTTGTACATGTTTCCAATGCCTGACTGCATGTGTGCACACTAATGAACAAGTCTCCTCTTCATGCAGGGTTGGATTTGTAAGTATTCTCGACTTAGAAATTATTTGAAATTCTTTGAATCCTTGTGCAGTCCAGTTAAAATTGTCGCAATTTAGCTTTTTATATATTTAATTGGTTTAGGATTCCGGAAATCTTACTATTAGAGTCCATTCTAGTATGAAGAACAATCAGATCGATTTGTTGTATAACATTAGTTGCTAATTCTAAAAAAATAGTCTGATGCTAAGTTTTGTAAGAATCACATTTTATGCTGAATGGAGTATTTTCATCTTCTTGTTGGTTTAATCAAGTTTTTCAAGTTGTAAATCAGGATTAAGTTCATGCATGATACATATTATCTTGTCACTATTAGATCTCTTTTACTTGATTTGACTTAACTAGTAGTTCGTCATTTCTGTAGGCAATACTTTTGAATTTGCTTATATTTTAAAGCATTAATTTTATGGGGCAATTACATACAGACCACCTGAAACTTACTATTTACAAATCAACCGCCCTCTTTCATCCATTTTTCAAATTCTCACTCAAATGTCAAAATTCATTGGAAAACCCCAACCCTTTTTTTTATTATTTTTATCAAATTCTCAATAGTTATATTATAGCACAGATAAATAAATCGGTTTTGTAGTTCAAAAAAATCACCTGGGTGCTTAATTCATAAATATCAATGTTTCGGGTGGTCTATATGAAATTTTTCTTTTTTTTTGTTTTTTTTTTTTGAAAAAGTAAATTTTTATGTGAATAAATGAATTAGGCGGAGCTTCACTTTTTAATGAGTTACCGACTCTAATTAAACAAAGCTAGTCAGACTTGGTTCATTCTTTTGTCGGCTAGCTTTAATGTTTATTAAGTCAAATTATTGAGTACTTGATATTAAAACCTACATTGGAGCATGAATCTCGGTGCATTTTGGATGAGATAACCCTTGGGGTCAAATTCATGTTCATTTAAACTCCAATTTCAACAAATTTATAGTCTACTTGTACTTCAAGACGATATAAGCCCGACGACACAACACTTATTCGGT